ATACGTCATAAGGTAGATACGTCACCTTTTCCTAGTAAGGCAAACTTTCCCGGCGTGCTTTTTTCATGGATAAACAAACACCACTGCTTTGCACATGGATACCTTGCCCAAGCCAGGGCTACAAGAACTGCATTGTTAGATGCATTGTATAATACCAGTACTTAAATAAGGTACCTCTGCAAATGAATTATTCTTAGTTATTATTTTTTTCTTTTTTTAGTTTATTTATTCCGAAAGTGAACTTTCTATCACATATAATTCCACTGTCTTAGTTAGGCCTAGGCCTAGTCTTATGCCTCATCGTCCCCCGCTACACAGTACATCAGGAGCCCCTCCCCATACAGTACAGACGTCTGCTAGGTAACAAAGCTGAGAGAGGTTTTCATGAGAGGGAAAACAAATTTTAGGGATGCCCAGATGTATTTCTTTGTGAAAATGAGTACCGCGGCGTACTCATTTTCACAAAGCATCATTTGCATCCCCTCTTGGAAAGAGGGATTCGAAATAATTATCTTCGCTAATTAAATTAATCACCGTAATTTAGTTTACACTTATGAATTTAGGGAGCACTTAAAATGTGAAATAATCATTTCACTACTCCGAAATTTATTCATTCATTAGGCCTACATAATAGTTTAATATTGCTGTACTATATACTCCAACATCACTGGCGCATGGTAACAACCAACTGACTGCAGACCATTTCCGGTCACACATTACTCTCCATAACCCTCTAGTTCCGTCACCTCTGGATTTGAACACTAAAGACGAGTTTGGTGATCCGCCGTACTTCGACCCTTATAAAGCGCGCGCGGTGCTGATTGAAAATTTTTATAATATGCTAAAATATTCTGTACAACTAGTGTTTAAAAAAAAATAATTTTCAGCATTTTAAAAGATTTACGCATGCGTACACGTACGGCTTGACGCCTGCGAGCATGGTAATGGCACAAAGAGTGACTCCTGATATGAATACAGTGTCAGGAACACAAAATATGTAACAAAACGTGATTTCCAGCTTCAGTACGTTCTGTGTGCGTGGAAATGAACGTATGGTGTGTAAATATGGAAAGTTTTGGAATGCAGAAAATGAACCGAAACGTTTAAACTATCTGAATAGTGATATTGAGAATTTTGATATTTTAACATACGCACACGTCACGATGAGTGCGTGTACAGTAATGGCACACAAAATTAAATATTGTCGTGTTTTTAAAACCGTCTGTTAGTTATTAATGCCACAGGAATTTCCCTTCATATAACCTATACTGTATATATAAGTCTGATAGCGTCGAAATACAGTCTGCCGCCCTCGTGTTCTATTTTTTACATCTTTTAAGAAAGAGAGATAAAATTGCTCTAAAAATTCATTCTTTTTTACCATGCTGACGTGATCAAAATGTAAAATAGAGGGACACGTCCGAAAGAGAATTGATTTAGCTATAACATACTCACAGGTGGGAGACACTCAATCAAGATAAGCGAGATACGTTCAAACGAGTATAAAAAGTAATAACGTCATGAATAAAAATTCAGTTTTTTCTTAATTCAAATAGCAATATGATGATGTCACAATGTCCGATCAGCCAATATGATCTATAAAATCGAACTCATGTGCTTTCAGAATATGTAATAAAAATTGGGGGTCACCTTTCATCCTAAGGAGCTATAACTGATTAAAAATAGGCCTGATTTTAGCATATTTTCACTGTATATCGGCACAAATCCGTGCAAAGATACCTATATTTGATGGGCACATACAACATTGCTATTGGCCATAAGATGACCAAAAAGAATGCAAATTTGTGAAAACAATGTCAGGAACCCAAACTATGTGAAAAAACATAATGACTAGCTTCTGTACGTGCTGCGCGCGTAGTGGAAAATTTTAAAAAATTTCGAAATGCTCAAAATGGCCTAAAACGTGCTCTAATTTAGTCAAAAAGTGATTTTGAACATTTTAAAAATTAGACGCATGCGTACGCGCGCGTAATGAAGCGCACGCGTAAATTAAGGTACAGTACATTCAACATTAACCCAAAGTTAATGCTTACTTAATACGATTTCGAAATGGCAATTGGTTAGGCTGATATGATCGATAATGTAAAAATGCAAAATTGCACGTAGATAACGTCACGCATGACTGAGCGCGTTGAAAAGCGTACCATGACTATTCCAGACCAAGCCAAAATGTTCGTTGACAGCGATTGTGCGTAACTCATGGTATTTTTTGAGATATCGTGCAAACAGAAAAGGGGAGAAAGAAAGAAGAATAAGAAAAAAAGAAGAGACAGTACAATACAAGAGGTGATCCGCTCGAGAAGCGGATCAAAAAAATAGACCAATAATTTTGGCTTATATAGTGCATTATGCTAAAGCCTCAATGCGCTTAACAATAAAAATAAAAATGACAGGAGAAATTTAAGAAAAGCACATGTTAAAACAGACACTACATTAGTGTATTTTTACGAACGACAAATATTAATTTTCTTGCTTTTGTTAATTTGTTAACTTTATAAATCTTGTAAAAAAAAGTAATCTTAAACATGTAATAATACTTACTTATTACTGTTAGTGTTGCAGTCTCTCTGCTAATTTTTCCATTAGTTCCAGTTAATACATCATTTTCAGCTCTGCATGTATAATTTCCCTCATCACTTTTAGTCACAACATTTAGCACCAATGATGTTTCAAATGGAACGTTAAGAATTTTGTCATCTTTCAACCATGTGACTCTGGGTTCTGGGTTTCCTTCTCCTGATACACATGTAAAAGTGGCAGTATCACCCTCATTCAATGTCATACTTTCAGTAACTAGTGTTGGATATGAAAGATCTAAACAAAATAAGAAAATATAGCAACATTCACATGTAAATAAATTTACATTTTATGTACATTAGCTACTGTAAATATTTATTTAATCTTTCTTTATACTGAAGGCACTTTCAGTACTATAGTACTGATTTTCAGAGTTATACAGTGACAAGAAACTTATACAGTAGAAATAAAACAAAGCATAAATAAAATTTGAAAATGTTATTTTAAATCATTTTGGATGATCGATATAAAAAAGTTCTTTTTCCCTGTCCAATATTTTACATTGGAAGAACCAGGCTGTTATGGGTTTGGCTATGCATGCCTTTAGAATGGGTAGTATTGTTAAATCCTGAAGACAAAAAAAAAATTTTAAAAATCAACTCTTTCAAATGTATCACCATTGTAGGTACACTTTTTTTTTTTTTTTACAAGAACCAGTAAAATTTTGCCCAGGCTCAGTGTTCTTATTTTTTGGCCAATTTCAGGCTCAAAATGTTCTTATTTTGTTCTTATGTTACACACTTTTCATACAAATGTATTATTGTACCAGTATACACTGTACTGAAATGTAAATGAAAAAAATTGACATGAATAATAAATAATAGTCGACCCAGTATTGAGCCTTGTGGAATTCTAATATTTATTTTCATAACATCAGATTGTGTTGAGTTTATATTTACACCTTGAGACCTGTTAAACAAGAAATTAACCAGTTCAATTCATCATTGTTAACACCATAAGTTTGGTAATGAATAGTTCATGATCAACTGTATCAAATGCTTTTTTAAGATCCAGAAATATGGCTGCTGTTGCTTACCACCATTAAAACTATATATACTGTATATGATCAGATACATCTATTACAGTAGTATTTGTATTGTAGAATGGTTCTTTCTAAAACCAGATTGAGATGAATTTATAATCTTGTTATAAAGTTTAAAAATTATACTATTGATCATGAAATCAAGCCTATAAATGGAAAAACTGCAGCTATTTCACATTGTTCGTATACTTTTTTTTCTTTCCTTCCCATTAATTCTTCATTAATTTTTTTTGTTGCATGAATCAAAATTATAAATGAAGAAACAACACTCATTGCATTGTTATTTACTGCTTGTACGTTTACCGCAGCAGTAAACCCCATTTTTTACTTTGCATTTTCAATCTCAATAGAACTCTGTACTTCAAGATCTATTTTTTTTTTGCTTTTTATTTTATATTTTTAAATATTAGGATTCAATAACTTATTTTCAAAATTATTCATCAAAAAATATTATAAATATAAAATCAATTGGAAATAATTAATTTTTTTCATAATTTCACAATACTAAATAATAGGTTATTTAGAACCTTTTTTTTTATTATCTTTCAATTGGTATCGATTATTATTGTATTATTCCTTCAGAAAAAAATGATATTTAACCATATTTCTGACACTGAAAAAAAATCCAAAATATCTAACGGTCAATGGGTTAAAGCCCCTCTCCTACTGGGGTTTTTTTCAGCATACATTTTAGAAGAGTTTGCCAAGTTGCTAATTCGGAAAAAAAACTTGTACTTACTCGTAGCGCTAATTTTTAAAATGTAAACTCAAAGGACTCGTAGGTACTCGGATTACTCTTATACCTAACTCGTACACAACTCGGGATACTCATTGGTGGTTTGTAATCCACGAGTTGGAGTTAGTTACGATCACCAGAAACATTTGGTCAAAAAACTCGCACCTACTGTAACTCACATCTAACACCGTACAAACTTGTTACGCTTGTAATAATATCATAAGCTTGTAGTAAACTTGGTGCTTCGCTCAGCATAATTCATACATAACTCATAACCAACTCGATAAGGTAGTACCTCACTCGTAGTAAACGCGTATAGCGGTCCTTTCCCAAGCGAATTAAATCACAAGTTTCACAAGTTTTTAACTCATAGAACTCATGCGACTCTTGGATGAAATAAGAGAGGCTTTAGTAAGCAATTTTTAAAAAATTAGAATACTGTAACTAGATCATGAATTTGAAACTTTCAACTTGGAAAAAAAATTGAAAAACATCTAACAAAATGCAACTTATGAGCTTTATGATGGACAGGACAAAAAAAATGCGGAGTTGCTAAATACAGCTCCACTATGAAGGATGCTACTGTGGTTGCCAGAAAACTTGATACATGAAACCAAAGAAAAATAAAATTTAAATACTTACATGCAACACTTATTGTGACATCATCAGATGCGTCTGAAGGTACATCATCAATCAGAGCAACATCGCATTTATATGTGCCATCATCAGTTCTGTTTGTGTTATCAATAACAAGAGTGTGTTGAGGGTCATTTTTTACAACACTAAATCTATCATTATAAGTCGGATTGACATAAGTAGCTGAACTCTGGTACTGCACTATTGTGGTAGGTGAGCCGTTGACAATCTTTTCCCATGTAATTCTTGGAATATTAGTATTTGAAGAATTATTTCTTTTTAAAGTACAAACTAATCGTGTTCCCTGGCCTTCAAAAGCATGTCCATCAACAGATACAGTGACAATTACAGCAGAACATACACTAAAAACACTGAAAAGAATAATTAATGAAATGGTAATCAAATAGCCAATTCAGATTTACAGGTACTGTACAGTCTATTTTTTAAATGTGGCAAAGACAAGCTGAACCAGTCACTCCTCGCAAATCATGTTTTTGAGATATTGTCAACATTTTCAAATCCACTTTATTGCACAAAACTAGCCCTTATATATATGTGGGAAAGACACCAAACCAGTCATCGCAAAAATTGATTTTGTTAATACAGGGTTAACATAAATGCTCAAATAAGTACCGCTCTCAAATAAGCGTTGTGGCACTTAATCGAGAGTATATAATATTACCATGTGTGCAGGAAACATGGTTTTAAATACAATGTATAAAGTGTTAAAATGAATAAGTAACACAATGAAAACACAAGCATTTCTTATAAACGTTTGTTTACAATGACAGAAGTGGCGGTATATTTCTGTGTTAGCTGTGGGCACTTGATGATCTAGTGGGACTATAGTTAAATTCAATAGTTACATAGGAAACAGTAAGGTTAATCTTACTAGTGTGTGGAGTTTTTACAGATACCGGTACAGGTTCTAGATGCCAGATTCCCGTAAAAAAGTATTTACACAATTTTCTGGCAATATACATCTTATTAATGCAATTCTTGTGGCTGTTTTTTGCATTTTGGCGACTATCTTGGATATGAAGTCAACTTCTAGGTGGCCTTATAGTTAATTTCAAATTAACTTAGGATTAACAAATTCACTGAAAAACGTTAACAGGAACAAATAGGCTGAATTTACCGAATTACGTTAATTTTATGGCGGCCATTTTGCATTTTGGCGGCCATCCTTGATTTGAGGGCAAATTCTGGGTGGCACTCAATTGACTATGAAAGGTTTATGTCCCAGATGACAAATCCACTGATAAAACATCGACATTTGAAACCGATTGTATTTTTTATGGCCATTTTGAATTTTGGCGACCATTTTGGATTTGAGGCCGATTTCTGCGTGGCCCTCGATTGATCTTGAATGGTTTATGTACCAGGTGACAAATCAACTGAAGAAACATTGACATAACCAATAATATGCTATTTTTTTTCTAATAATTGTGATTTTTGGCAGCATGAATTTTGGATTTTGGAGGCCATCTTGGATTTGAGGCAAAATTCTTGGTGGCCCTTGATTGATTTTGAAAGGCTTAGGTCTGAGGTGACAATTCCACTTCAAAAAAGTTGACAACACCAAATAAATATGTTGTATATCTCTAATAATATTAATTATTGGCAGCCATTTTGGATTTTGGTGGCCATCTTGGATTTGAGGCAAAAATTTGGGTGGCCCCCAAGCTTATTTCAAATAGTGTGGGGTCAGGATGATAAAACCGCTGACAAAAGCTTGACCGGAAAAAATGGCAGTTTATCCTTGGCTGGGACCCGTCTAGAAAGTGGGATTTGCCAGTACTCCTTCAGCACATCAAGTTAGAATCGCCAATGCAATCTATGCAGTCCTCCATGCACGGCAGAGGGTATGAATCTGGTTTCATAAGAGCATTCACCTTTATATAATCCATACAAAAAAGATAAAATTTATACGGCTTTGATACCAGTACACATGGAGAACTCAAGCTACTGCCACTAGGTTCTATAATACCATTTGTCAACATAAAATCAATTTGTTATACGAATTATCGCCATTTTCAGTAGATCCTCTACGGACGTTGCTTAATAGTAGTGGTGTTACCTATATCGACATTGTGTTCCACCAGGTTTGTCACACCAGGAACATCAGAAAGAAATGACACAACCAAATTAATTACTGTACAACAACAAGCAAATAACAAACAGAATATGAAAAAAAAGTTCATTCAATGGAACATAAACTAAAGTTAATTAGCGTAAACAGTTTATTACATGGAGTGTTCAAGATCTACTGTGTGTGTAGGCCTACAATAGTTGCTTGTATGTGCTTGTATGATGTGTTTAGATCAGACTATCAATACATTTAAACATTTAGCTTTTTTTTCCTTTTTTTTTTTCCATTTTGGAATCTCGACAACAATAATGTAGGCCTCCCAAAAATGGCTACCGTATCTGAAAACGGTTTATAAAATTAATTACCCATATTGAATGGTAGAGTCCATGGTTAATCAACGACGCAACAAAACATGTGCTTCGATATTTGAAAAAAGGTGAAAACAATACATTGAACAGCAAGCTAGAGAAAACATTATTTTACAGTATACAATACCTTCTTAAAGAGCCTGATCATCATATATAAAATACATTACTTTTCCACTAAACTTTGAGATTAATCAACATCGAAATAGAATAGAGTCCATGGTTAAAAATGTGCCACATTAAAACATGTGTTTCTTTGGTAGAAGAGGGGTGAAAGGAATGCATGTAACAGCTAGCTAGAGAAAATAGTTTTCACCTTTACAGATAGCTTTGATGATGAATTTAGTTATCTCATAGATAATAATCCCATTGATGTGATTTGTCTTAATGAAACTCGTATTTGTAACACAATTAAGGATCAAGAAATTTTTATTCACAAGATTATGATATTTTTCGTAAAGACCGAAATCGTGATGGGGGCAGGGTAGCAGTTTATATAAACCAATATAGTGGATTAATTAAAGCTTAGACCTGAGTTTATGAAACCAGAGCTTGAAATGATTAGCATAGAATTATCTAAAGCTATGATGAAACCAATCATTATTAGCATGGCACCGTCCACCTGGGTCTGAAATGCGCCTTTTTAATGTTTTTGAAGAAGTACTTCAAAATATTGAAAGTTGTGATACAAACTATATGGTTATTGGTGATGTAAACTGTGATTTAATTTCTGAAAATTCCAGCTGCTATACTAAACAAAATGAAAGAAATCTCAACTAATTATTACTTTAAGCAAATTATTATTCAGCCAACTAGAACTAATTCTTCATCAACACTTAATACTGATCATATTTATGTATCTTTTCCTGAAAAGGTTAGTGATTCAGGAGTACTTTATACAGGTCTTAGTGATCACGATATTATTTATGTAATTATTGGTAGAGAACAAAAACTATTTTATAAAACAATGTAGAAATTATGGCAAACTTGATGAATTGCAATTCAAACTTGATATGATCAGTGTTAATTGGTATGAAATCACAAATTTGACAATGTATTGTTAATGATGCACTTAACGCCTTTGAAGATAAATTTCTTTATGTTATTAATAAACATGCACCTATAAAAAAGAAACGAATAAGAAACAAGAACAGCCTATGGTTGAGTAATGAATTGATTAAACTTATGCTTATTTGCTTATTTAGTAAAGAAAACAGCGCATTTTAATCAGTTATCTCCCACGTTAAAATTAATTTACTAATAAAGCACATTTCAGCTTTATTTTAAATTAATATGTTAAATTTTCATGAACAATACAGTATACACCTCTCGATTCGAAGGACGTAGTGTAGAGGAAGATACATCTTTCTACACAGTCCTAATGCCAATGAATGGCCTGCAAAAATGTGAAGTAATCATTCCGCCGTGGAGAGCCGTGCCCTAGCATAGCAGATGATAAGCATGGCAGACTTTATTTAGGCCAGTGTGTAATACTGCCTTACTTTGAATGTATATGTACCTCAATATTTCGATCTTTATTTTGAAGAAATAGTACTATTAGGTTAAAATATTGATGAGCCTTTCTAAGCAGTCTGTCTATAGTTAGGTCCCCTGATGTTCGCGAATTACACACTCAGTACATACTTCGCTACGTACTGGGTCTGTTCTCATCTTTATTGTTTAAACTGTGATCGATTATATGGTAAACTGAAGAAATTAGAAATAATGTCTGATTCTAATATCACTTAAAACATAACAACATTAAAACATTATAACTCAAATAACACGCATCATCTGGCACTTTAGCAGTGTGTGCAAGTGACGTACTCGCTATAACAATGAAGTGGCATTATTAAGTTCTATTTTCTCCAAAATTACATTGTAAAACATTATTTTGGTATACGTTGGAATATTTGTAACCCCTTCTTATACTTTGACCTTTCCTACTGTATGTTGAAATCATCTCCCTGGCCCGATTAACAACCAAATTTAGATTCTGAGCCCAAAAAATATGTCAAAAATGTTTCTTCTGTACATTTATCACACACACCTGTAATACCACTTCCCAGATTATATTTTATTTGAAGTTTGACCCCAATAACTTTTGAACGAACCCTACACCTGTCCAACTGTCATTTTTTTCTCGAATACAACCTAAATTACATTGAAAACATTATTTTCGTAAACTATTGCACTTTTAGGACCCCTTTCTTAAATATGCCGAATTTGACCTTTGACCCCGCATCTCGGAAAACCCCTCCCTTGACCAATCAACAATCAGATTCCCGTTCTACGCCCAAAAAAATGTCAGAAATGTTTCTTTTTTCACATTTATCACACGGGCAACACCCTTTCCAAGATTATGTCTTATTTGACCTTTGACCCCAATAACTTTTGAACGACTCCATACCTGTCCAATTTACTGTCGTTTTTGGAATCTATGACCTAAATTACATTATTTTGGTACACTAATTCACTTTTGTGATCCCTTCTTTAAATATGCCAGATTTGACCTTTGACCCCACATATCTCGGAAACCCCCTCCCCGGACCGAGCAACAATCAGATTCGTAATCCACGTCAAAAAATACATTAGAAAAAATTGGTCTGGTAAATTCTGCAAAAATGTGACACCTTCCTCCAAATCCGACCGGTCTAATGGGATAGGGCCTAGTAGTGATATTGATTTTTGTTCCATTCAAAAATTTTAAATGGGGAAACAAAAGAAAAATAATTACTTCGCACCAACCATGATGGGAATTGGAACAGAGGAGGATGAGAGGATGCCAAACTGATGCAACATTACTCGATTTTATGTGCAGTTTTTAATAGGGTTTTAATTTTGTAAGCTGCAGTCGTGCTGCACTTAGCCCACCTGTAGACTCGCACATCTCTAAAAGTCTCTCCTAATTTCTCTCTACCTAATAAATCCTGGATCTGCCACCGAATATATGTACATATTGTACTGGAAAATAAGATTTATATTGATGTACATTACTGCCGTCTGGACCTTTTCCAATGTGTGGGAGTGTTTTCAAAATGCTATACTGGATACATTGATTGTAGGCCTAATTATATACACAAACCACATAGCGCTCAGAGACCATGAGAGCTGTGATAATTGTCGAAAGATTGTTGTTTGTACAGTACTCTACAACAAGGTTATTTTCGTCCTGAAATTTCTTTAAAGAAATCAACAAATGATCATGTAGTCACTAAATGCCTAACCGACCATAATTGACATCAGGCTTTCATAGCTGCTTTTGTGATTGTGGACAACCAGAAGCCAAACAAAGAAGAAAGCTTTTATTGGCGCTTTTTTTAAAGACAGTGTCATTACATACTACGGTGCTGATTGGCTACGTTCTACTGTGCGAATAATGAATTATTTACTATTTGCACGATAGACAAAGTTTGTATGATAGGTTCTATCTGAAAATATATTTCGGTTCATTTAGGTATTCTCGTAACAAATTAAGTAATTATCTCGTAAAATATTTAGGCCATTGAAGCTTTTGAGATGATACCGTGTTAAATATAGTTAATTCACGATGTACCGTGCGAGTTTGACTCCTTATCAGCATTATTTTTTCCTCCCCATTTTTGTGTGCATGATATCTGAAAATTGGCATGAGCTATGACGTGGCAGCTTCAACGAACATTTGGCTTGGCTTGATATAGACATACTGTAATAAGCTTTTCAATATGCTCAGTCATGCGTGACGTCATCTTCGTGCAGTTTTGCGCTTTTACATTATCGATCATAGCATCCTAACCAACTGTCATTTCTCAATCATGGGTATAAACTTCAGGTCAAAGTTGAATATCACGTACCAAAATATTTCGCGTGCACGTCATAACGCTCAAAATCATCTTTTGACTGAATTAGAGCACGTTTCAGGACATTTTGAGCATTTCAAGTTTTGTTTACATTTTCCACTACGCAGGCACATTTTTACACTCGCAGCATGTACGGAAAGTAGAAATTACGTTTTCTCCATATTTTGGGTTCCTGACATTATTTTCACAAATTTCAATTCTTTTCAGTCATCTTATGGTCAATAGCAATGTCGTATGTGCGCATCAAACATAGGGTGCTGATACACAGTGAAAAATATGCTAAAATCAGGCCTATTTTCAATCACTTATAGCTCCTTAGGATGAAAAGCAACCCCCATTATTTATTACATATTGTGAAAGACACATGAGTTGTAAATATGATTTTATAAATCAGACATTGTGACGTCATCATATTGCCATTTGAATAAAAAACTTAATTTTACCTATGGGATGACATCATTTTTAAAAGTACGCATCTAAGTGTATCTCGCTTATTCTTGATTAATCGTCTCCTAACTTTGAGTATGTTATAGTTGAGACAATTCTCTCATATATGTGACTTCTTTTTAAATTTTGATGATGTCATCATGGTCAAAATAAATGTTTTTTTCTGACCCCGCCCCATCTTTCTTTCCTTAAAATTTTGATGACCCCAATATCATATTAACCATTCATCATTTCTGAATCATATTCAGTGGGCATAAATTTCAGGTCAAGGTTGAATGTCATGTACCTTAATTTTCCTTTCGTGCATCTTAACATGCACGTACGCATGTGTCAAAATTTATATGTGCATAAAATTATGAATATAGTTAATCATTTATAGCTCCTTATGTTGAAAGGAGACCCCTAATTTTTAGTACATATTCTGGAAGCACGAGCTGTAGATTTTATACGATCTATCGTAATGGCTGATCGGGCATTGTGACGTTATCATATTGCCATAATTAAAAAGAACTGAATTTTTAGTTAAGAAGTTATTATTTTTATACTCATTTGAATGTATCTCGCTTATTCTTGATCTTTTGTCACCTACCTGTATGTTATAGATGAGATAATTCCTCTTTTGGAAGTGTCCCTTCATATTTCAATTTGGTGATATCATCATGGTCAAAATGAATGTTTTCCTAAACTCTCCCCACCTCTTGTATTAAACTTTTGACAACTTAAGAGAGGCGGCAGACATCATATTTTCCTGCACAATTTGAAAACCCTGGCTCTAGTGTATTTTTCAATATTACACTTTTAAGCGCTGCAAAATTTTTTTGCCAGACAAGCGGATCACCTAACTCGTCCGAAGTGACAAGTTCCAATCTAGTTATTGTTATTATTATTTTATATAACTTAAGTTAATTGTTTAATTTTTCTCATTTGTTAATACTGAACCATTTTGGAAATCAATGCTTTAGCACCGAAAGTGTCGTTCAGTATAAAGAAAGAATAATTAATTTAATAAACCCAACTTGTTTAACTATCACAGTATTAATTGTTTGTAATATTCAAATAATTATTGTCGTGTAGCACAACAAAAAGTAGAATCTATCCACTTAAGGTGTCATCAAAACTTTATTCAACTAAAAAAAACAAACGGATCACCTAACTCGTCCGAAGTGACAAGTTCCAATCTAGTTATTGTTATTATTATTTTATATAACTTAAGTTAATTGTTTAATGTTTCTTATTTGTTAATACTGAGCCATTTAAAAATCAATGCTTTAGCACCGAAAGTGTCATTCAGTATAAAGAAAGAATAATTAAATTAATAAACCCAACTTGTTTAACTACCACAGTATTAATTGTTTGTAATATCCAAATAATTATTATTGTGTAGCACAACAAAAAGTAGAATCTATCCACTAAGGTGTCATCAAAACATTATTCAAATAAAAAAAACAATAATTACCTGAATAAAAGCGAAGATGTAACAAAAAGTGTTGACATCTTGTTGCATGCACATCTGAAAAACATCATGATAATTGGGTTGATAATTATGGTGAAAAAAACTAGAAATGCTCTTTTTACGCTGAGCAGTAAAAGCATAGCCTGTCCACAGTGTGATATTTCACTGAGAACTAATGAGGATGAGTTTGAAACGAATTAGTCTTACTCTATCAAACTTTAGTTATCGTGGTAACAAAAAAATTACCACACCAGTGACAATATTATAAAAAGAAATATTTACAAGTTCAAATAAATTTAATTTTGTTGAAGTTGTAATAGTTTTAATGTTTTTATTGGAATTATGATTATGATAGTATATTAAATTTCCTCCTTAGTAAACTATATTAATTATACAAATGCGCAATTAGCATATTCATACACGTACCAAAACAAGGCTCTTTCTATACTATTATCTTGCATTCCCTACAGTTTGAAACCAATCGGACTTTTGTATCGTGTTACAGATACAACATCGTCATTTAAAACAGTATCCCCCAACCTCAAGAACAAATAAAATGTTATCAATATTACATTCAGGAAAAATACTCCATGTTGCAGTCTCATTGCAAAGCTCAAAGTCATCTTTTGAGGTCGCAAATTCTGCCTTTCGGATTTGATAAAACTTGACGGATATCTTCAGTTTCACCACTTTGGCACAAGGTACACTCACCAGTATTTTTATGACACCATTTGCAGGTCCTGCCATCAAGGGTTAATGTGTTGGGACCTTAATTTAAATTGTAGACTTTCCCCCATAAAGTTACAGTAGTTTTATCAAGCAGATTTTTCACGGGGCTTGGTGTAGTGTAATGTAGTATTAAGGTTCAATAATATTAACTTATATCCTATTGGAATTTGTATATCATCGATATCCCTTCACCCGTTAAATGTCTTAAATTGATTTGACAGATTGAATAGTCAACCTGAATATACAGATAATCTATCATACAATTGGTAATTTATAACTTCACCCTAGTGAATTGGACTTGACGTTTCAAACACTATGAATCTATAACTGACAGTTTTAAGCCCAAGTTTTAAAGTTTGTAATTTATCTTAATTAGCAACTTTTTGGTAAAATAGAGAAAGAATTTCTCTATGATCCAATCAAAAACTATGTATGGGGTGACAATCTAGACACACCCCCAGTACCTTGATATAACAGGCAAACACCCCACATCACTGAATCAGACACAAAGATATCTGAGGGAGAAGAAATCAGAAGCTGTCTCCACTCTAAGAGTTCTCTAACATCGGAGAAACCCGGAGTTAGTCAATTGTAAATATGTAGAGTAGTTAATGCTGAATAAAAGCTTTGCAGTGTACAAAAAGGAACTGTTACCACTTCTTTAAAAGTTATTACCAACCAGCTCCCAATATTTCATGCTGGAAGCCCACAATATTTCAGTAGATTGTAACTGTGGAGTATCTTCTAGAAAGGACTTCTTGGCGGTCCTTCACGAGTGGATCACCTCTTGTTATTGTCAGATCTTTTTTATTAATTCTACATTTCCCCCAATTTCTTGTTCGCACGATATCTTAAAATCGCTACGAGATACGAACATGATCGCTTGGCCTGGAATAGTCACAATTTTGCGTTTTTACATTATCGACCATATCATCCTAATCAATCGTCATTTCTCAAGCATATTTAGTGGGCATAAACTTCGGGTCAAGGTTAAATGTCACATACTAAAATATGTTGCATGCACACCATAATGCGTGTGCACGCGTGCGTCTAAATTTTAAACGCTCAAAATCACTTTTTGACTAAATTTGAGGAGGTATTAGGACATTTTGAGCATTTCAAAATTTGTTGATTTTTTTCCACAACGCGCTCGCATTTTGACGCCCGCAGCTCGTACGGAAGCTAGAAATTACTTTTTTTTTTTTTTTTTGGGTTTCTGACATTGTATTCACAAATTTCCATTCTTTTCAGTAAATTTATGGACAACAGCAATGCTGTACACGCACATCAAACAAAGGGATCTTGAGTTGTAAATATGATTTTATGGATCATAATGGCTGATCGGATATTGTGACGTCATCATTTTGCCATCTGAATGAATTCAAAAACACTGAATGTTATCTATGTCATTTTTGAAAATACGCATTTGAGCGTATCTTTACATTTTGATAACGTCATCATGGTCATCATGACCCCATAATCATCTTAACCAGTCATCATTTCTGAATCATATTTTGTGGGCATACACTTCACGCCATGAATGTTATGTACCTTAATTGTTTGAGTGCGCATCATAACGTGCGGTACACGTGCATCAAAATTTACATACAGTAGGTTTTGTGGTTGGAATGAGTAACCTGGGTATGTGTGCCGGCACAGTAGTGTAGTTAGTATTGAGTTTTACAAGAGAGCAGTAGTATTAATAAATAGTGTATTTTATGTTGGATTCCATATATTTTGTTGCTTGCTGTTTCATTTTTGTTTGTAGCTGAAAGAACCTGGGTGGAGATTATTATTATTATTATTGTATAGAGACCTACATATATATACAGTATGTTCATATCCAATTAATGTCTCCCACAGGAATGTTTTCCAGTACTTTAATCTCTGGACGACCAAAAATAACCTCTGAGACGTATTAGGCAACTAATTATTTCTTTTTCTCTTATTTTTTTTATTTTTTATCAGGGAGAAGCATAAACCACCATACACCCTTCTAAATCCGCGCCTGTTTTTATATATTTGGTAGAAAGAGGGGAGTGGGTGAATGTGTGTTGAATAATAAACTGCATACAAAGATATTCCCTGCTGTTGGATCATGAATCTTTAATTATTTTCAACAGTTTAATTAATGGATATCGACTAACTAAAATGTCAAATAATTAAGCTTCCCTGTAAGGTGTACATCACCCTTAAAACTAAAAAGTAAGCACAATCTTTCTTTTACTTCTTTACTGTACTAATCAAACCGAGCCTCTGCTTTCAAATGAATTCCTTCGCATACAGCTGCTGTAGCCTGATATACGGCGATGTATGCAAAATAGACTCAAGATTGGACTTAACCCATCCCTGAGTGTTTGCTCATAACCGAAGATACAAACGGCGTTCCAAGAGTGGTACTTACCTTTATCCAATGAGATGTCTTCCTAGGCGATAATACTCCAGAAATATAATATATCCAGACACAGTGGTACACACCGTATATAGTACGGTATATCTTGTACTAGATAGACCCGGACACCAGACACAATGACAATCCTGTAGTGTTAGCTAATAAAAGTGATACTCCTTGCATGTAGTCCAGTGTACGAGTGCCATAAACTCGCCAGGTACGCCGCCGGGTCGCGATTTTTTTTTCCGTACGAAACATTTGCATGAAACTTCACTCGGGCCATCTCGGATTGACTCGAGTGAGTACGATACGAGGAACAAGAGCAAACACTTCGCAATGTCGTGACGCTCGAGTTTTACTATTATTGCTCTTTCTATGTTTACC